TTCGATTGAAAAAAAAAACATATTGAATAGCTGAAACAATTATCAATTGTGAATAATTTTTATTTTTTCTTATCAAATGTGAAATTCATTGTTTTTTAAGGAAAATATTCTCTCTTGGTTAAAAATTCGGACAATCTCTATTCAATGTTAACTACTTTAAATCACTACTGATCAACATAGAAATCATTAAAAAAAACAATCATTCGATGATGCGATTCCATGAAATTTTTGACTTGTGACTAATTTATTTCATAAATTGAAGTTTTCTTTTAACTATTTTATATAGAAACAATATTTTCTCTTCATCTAAATATTTAAATCATTTATTGATACATTTTATTGTTATAGATTATACAAAACCTATAATTATTATCATTTTAATTCTTGTATTTTCATACATCAAATAGAAATAATCATTCTTTTTTTTTAGTTTGTACGATTTACTCTCTGTTGATTATTTCGAAGAAGAAAAATACAAATAAAAAAAAAAGCTAAGAGAAATGTTTATTGAGTGTTTTTTTTTAATGAAAGTTGAAAATCTCTAACTCAAGTAACAACTTTCAACAACGGTCAACTATAAAAACTCTCGTCATGATAAGATTATCACTATTTCATTTAACATTCATTTCTTATGACATATTGGGTTTTTGAGTCTTGATACCATCTCATATTTTTTGTAATCGATGGTTCTTTCTTGATAATGAACAAAAAGTTTGTAAAAATCTTGATGAAAGATTTATTATTGTGATTGAATAATAGATTTGAACGGCATCTTTCAATCAACGACGAAATTTGATTGTCTAATGGTGATATTTACTTTAATATAATCAATATTTATCTCATATAGATATAGACAAAAGAACAAATAATAGGAAAACAGAGAACAAATATAATGTTTGACATTGAAACTTGATCTATGACGTAATAAAATCTGCACCAATGTCACACTGGAATTATTTCTTCAGAATTTCTATTAATAATATGTCATTACTGTCTTTTGTTAGTCAATAAATGTTAAGATATAAATCCTATTTACTCTCACTAAAGATTGTAACAAAAAAACAACAACAACAGATATTATCTCTTTTTCGAATGATTTTTCTTTTGTTGTTTGATTTCTATTGTCTATTTATAATAAATATATCATTCGATCTAGTCAAGTCTATACTTTTTTGTTATATATTGTATAAGAAATAATTTATATTCAGCCGTATTCTGAAATGTTTTCTACATACTTTCATCTCATGTTTTTTTTTTCATAGAGAATATCGCGTTCATAAAAAAAAGTTTTTCATTTCGGTGAAGTATTCCAAAATTTTTCATAAGATAATAACAAATCATTGACTTGTTTATCAAGTATTATACAAAACAAAACAAGAACTAACATGATAATCGACGCTGCAGTGTCAAATTAAACATTATTCACTTTCTATTATTCATTCATACATTAATAAAATGTATTTCTCTTTGTTCATACCGTAAATATCTATTCTCTCCCCATCATATTCGACTAATAACAAACTATGACTATTTGTCAATCTTCATAGAACAGTATTACTTCGAAATATGTCGAAGGTCATCGCATGAATTCACTTCAACTTGCTGAATATATTACACAATTGATAATTATCTAATAAAACCTTTATTAGATGAGTTAGGACTATGCACGGGAAAATGTGTGTTCGATTTAGGATGTGACCAAGGACAACATACACGTCTATTGACAGTATTATATTGTAATTATATTCTTGCTGTTGATATCAGTTCAGAAATAATAAAACTGACTCGCTAAACTAATATTAATAACGATTCTAAAGGTATTGACTAGATTGTTGTCGATGTAAAAAAAAAAAAAAAAGTAACCATCACAATGCACATTTACAACTTATTATCTGTTGTCCAACATTTATGAGCAAGCATTTAAAGGGACAGACTTGAAAACTTTCCAATGAATACCTTATCAATATGAGTCCTGATGTACTAAATAAAAAATTGTATGATGATTTAATTACAGTAAAACCTCTCTATAGTGGACACCCATCGGACTTTTCGAAACTGTCCACTATATGGAGGTGTCCACTATAGAGAGGTTCAATTCCAGCAAAAATCGCTCCGTCGGACTACGAAGTGTCCACTATACGGAGGCGTCCACTATAGAGAGGTGTCTACTATGAGAGGTTTTACTGTATACATTTAACACAATTTCATTTTATTATTCTTTTGTATTAACCTTAAAAAATAATCTTTATGGCTTTTTGTTTTTCTTATCAAACAATTTAAAGTCATAAAATGCATTGAAGTAGCTATTACACTTAGAGAAACATGAAAAAAAAATGACAACTCTTGTGAAAGTTATTGTAAAAATAGTATCAACTTGAATCAATAGAGAAAAAGTTGTTTGCAATCAAAGCAATTCTGATGACTCTAAATTCAATTTGTTTCTTTATTGGCTTGGATACTAATCTTTAGCTATTTGTTGACAACTCATCTCTCGATAGTCTAAATATTTAGCTAAATTTTTTTATTTTACTCTTCGTATAGTTGGAAAAAAAAATGATGCATGCTTTATGAAAATTAATGTTTTATCGTTAAAAAAATTGATTTTTATCGATTTGATAGAAAACGATATTAATTTAAGTTTATATTCAAATATTTTAATTATTAAAACTTTGATTCCAAATGAAACGAATATCATATGAATTAAAACGGAAAGTTCTAATACCCAGAATGATCTATATGAAGTTCGACGATAGACACTCTATATTTCACTGTAGATGATATTGAGAGTGTGACCCATTAATCCGTTAGACAAGCAATACAATAATGTTCATATATATATATGATTATTATTAATATTTTAATGATAGATTAATGAAAGAAATACAAATATATTTATCTATACAATATTTAAATATGATAAAGATTCAATAATAGAGAACAAAAAAAAAAATATGTAATATGTCCTTGATCTACTCATCAGATTTCAGAAAACATTATTTTTATTTTATAAGTATTATTAATAAAATCAAATTTTTTTTGTCGTTAAAAAATAATATATTTTAAGAATATTTCGGTTTTTATTTGACTATAGAATAATTGATTATTCAAATGAAATAAATATAATAGAATTTATTTTGATGTGTTATAATAAAATAAAAAATTCATATGAAAAGTATTAAGGTTTCTATCTGATTAGAATTTTTTAATATTTTCAGATGTTATTAATATATTATCATAAGTTTTTTTTAGCAATTTACATAAACACTTCATCATTTAGTATCAAATGAACAAAAAAAAAAAAGAATTTCATTTAATATTTAATTATTCTATCAAATCATGGTGAAGATTTAATAAAAAGGACATAAAGAAATTTTATTGATTTATATATACAATCTTTTTTTTTTGTTGTCAATCTATGAGAATATTTTTAGATGCAAATGTCATTTCTATACTAATAAAAATATTCAGTTTAAAATATCTGAACAGATGTCTTGTTAACCATATGTCACTTTAGCTGAACATCGAATCATTTATTGAAAAGTTTTAAATGAAATATTTCTCAATATTCAATTAGTTAATCTTGACAAATATTAACTAAACAGTTGATCAACTATTTAACAAATTTGTTGATACATTTATATTTAGTAAAAACAATTTTAATTATAATGAAGTACTGATGACCTATTTGTGTTAATAGTCAATTTTGTTTTACAATGTTTCATTAAGATAACGTTACTAAACGAGTATTTTTAATTGAGAATTTGTACTAAAATGGTTTATTTTTATAATTGAGTTAAATTGATCGATTTAATATATAGTCGTAAATGGTCACTAGTCTCTTCTATTCAATATGTTATTTTCGAAAATAAACTTTTCTTTTTAAAAATAAAAAAAACTATTATTTGTATTAAATAAATCTTATATTTAATAGATACAAATTGATTTAATTGAATTTGACTTGTTCAATTCATGAAAAGATTCATTTTCACAGTTTTATGATTATAAACTTGATTTCTTTTTGTTTTCCTAGATGAATTAAACTTCTATTAATGTCAATAATTATTTTAATGATTCAATACTTGAATTTAACATTGCTGTTACTTCTAAAACAATAGAAATTTTAAATCTATGATAGGTTTGTTTACTGGATAATTCTTGCAAAATTGCAGATTCCACCTGTCAAAGAATAAACTTTCGTACCTATAAGAACATTTCTATTAATTAGATTTAGTTATAAATAATTTAACAAAACAAAAGTTTTGTTTTTTTTTGTCTATTTCTATGATTTATAGATAATTTTTATTAAATAAATGTTTATCTATTTAATTAATATTATTTTGTTATTAATTAATGAGCGATAAATAGATAGCAATGTTTCTATTGGTAAGACTTCTCCAATAGATATATTCTGACAACAACAAAAAATAAAAACATAGACAGTCTACTGGCCAAATAAAAACTAATCATCAAGATATATTTATTTACATTAACTAATTTATCAAATCTTTAAAAATTTTTCACAGTAAATTATTTTATACATCAAAAATAATATTTTTTCATATATCCGAGAATTACTCTGCTTTTTTGTTTTGCTGTACTTTTTAAATACATTAGTATTGGTGATTATTAGTGTAATTTTTGTCGATGTATAAACAGTGGTTAGAACGTGTTTAGTATTCTTTCTCTATAGAATAGAAAGAAAAAGGAAAAAAAAATGAAAATATTTTTCTTCGCCTTTTCATCTCTTCAAGCCAAAATAGACGATCGTTGAAGCAGCTGCAAAATATCGTATGAGACTGCGACAAAATGTGGCAAGGCCAAAGAACAACAAAAAAAACAGAGAACAGGGAAAAAATAGAGAACGGAGAAAAAACAACGATTGCTTAGCTCTTTTGCTTTCATTCAATTTATCTTTTCAAGTCTACAATTGATACTTTGGTTTTCATATTAAGAAATATATATTTTTTTTAAAATTCATTCCTTTAAATAGAAAAGAAATAATGTCTCAAATGGATACATCCGTTGGCATTGATTGTCTTATTAAACCTACAACTGATATGGTAGAAATGACTTTGATCACAAGTAAATATACAGTCTTACTTAGTGGTATATTATTAGATAACATAGTTTTTACTAACATACTTGTCGAAGGAAAGATAATTTATCTATGAATAATATCTATATAGGTTTATTGATTGATTTTATTTTTAATAAGATTATTTTATTGAAAAAATAAATCTTTTTGAAAAGATTTTAATTTAATATTTATTTAATTAAATCTTTCATAGATAAAAAAATTAATATTATATGAATGAATTATATTTCAATATAATTTTTAGGTAATACTCGTCGACGACATATTGAATATTTACCTTATCCAGATGAAAATTTTATTGAAGAACCTCTACAATCCTATCCACGTATTAATAAACAAAATAAAGTTTTTTTTCTTATTAATTTTATTTAATAATAGATGAAAAACGTTCATTGGAAGAAATCTATTTGAAACGTAATAAAACATTTGTTGATGGGGTACCAGTGGAAGTTGTTGACATAACTGGAGTTAGAGATTATAATCCTGTTACAGAGTTTCTTTATCCTTATCTGTAAGTATTTTTCTCATAAGTAAATAATACTAATAATAATTTATCAAAAAATGTTTTATATTATAAAATGAAATATTTTCTTTTAAAGATATACAATAACAGTTCGTCATGGTTCTGCATTTGAATGGACCATACATAAACGTTATAAACATTTTCATGATCTTCATAAAGCTCTTGTTCATTATGTTGAAGATATAACGAAACGATCATTAAGTAGTTTAAACAAGTAATATTATTTAAAAATAGATTTGATTTAGTTATTTTTTTGTTAATTATTTAATTTTAAGAAGTGATTTATCAGGAAAAAAATCGAATAATGATCAAAGTTCTTCATTAAGTAAAAAACATGAAGATCAACCATGTTTTCCAACTCGTAATGATCGAATTTCATTTATAAATCAATTTACAATTGGAGAACGATGTGTAAGATTTCGTTTTTTTGTGTTAATCTTGTTGTTTTTCTTTATTTATTATTAGTTTATAGAAAACATTACAAAATTATTTAAATAAAGTATTAAAACATCCAAAATTTCGTGAACATATCGCTATGGTAAATATATAAAAATTAAAAAAAATAAAATAAAATTTCAATTGAATTTAATTATAATAGAAAGAATTTCTTGAAGTAAGTCCATTATCATTTGTACAAGGTTTGGGTATGAGTATAAAAGAAGGTGCTATTGCAAAACGTTCAAAAGATGATTTTCGTGGTCGTTCAGTATTTCTTCGAGCTCCATTTATATGTGATAAATTTAAATTTCATCATGGACAAAAATGGTTTGTTCTTAAAGATTCATATCTTGTTTATATGAATCCTGATTCAGCTTTAATTGGATTTCCAATGCTTATTGATAAAGGTTTTTCTATTGAACAAGGTTATAGAAAAACTGCAACTAATAATGGTATTAGAATTAAAAATTTACAACGTGCAATGCTTATTAAATTTGAAACAGATGATGAACGAGATATTTGGTTTGATTGTTTAATGAATATTAAAAATAAATCTCCTCTTATTGAACAACATTCATTTAATTCATATGCACCAAAAAGACAACGACAATATGCTCATTGGTTTGTAATGTATTTCTTATTGAATCATTCTTAACAAACAAGATTAACTTTTTTCTTTTTTATGAGAGGCATTATTAAAAAAAAATTTGAAGTTTAGTGAGTAGAAATCTGCGTCTCCTATAGACCGTGACGAACACTAATCAAACATCGTATATAAATAACGTTTTATTATAATATGTATGAAGTACTGCCATATTTCATATTCAGACGATAAATAGATGTGTCCCAAAAAAGAATGAATAAAACAATCTACTTTTGACTAGCAAGAAGAACTATATTATCTTATACATTTTAATGTAGTAGGAGTCGTAATAATCACTTTTTTTCATTTAACTCTACCGGAATTAAAATTTATTTCTATAACTAAAAATTAATTTTCAAAAAGATAAACTCTTTAAAGAAAACAATAAATCAAAAAATGTTATTTTCTGTTGAGATAGGTTTGTAAATGGTCAATCATATATGGAAGCCGTAGGTAAAGCTATATTAGCAGCACGAGAAGAAATATTCATAACTGATTGGTGGCTTTCACCTGAAGTTATGCTTATTCGTCCTTGTGATGATGATTCAATGCGACTTGATAATCTACTTGGTAAACGAGCTGTAAGTATTCAAGATTTATCTTTTAATTATTATATAAATATATAAATAATTAGGAAGAAGGAATTCGCGTTTATATAATGATATTTAAAGATATTGTATCAGTTGTTGGTTTAAATAGTTGGCATACAAAATTAAAATTAACGGCTAAAAGTCCAACAAAAAAAAATATAAAAGTAATTCGACATCCTGATCATAGTGTTGTACCAGGAACTGAATCATCATTTCTTTTTTCTCATCATGAAAAAACTGTTGTTATTGATCAACGTATTGCTTTTATTGGAGGAATTGATCTTTGTTGGGGAAGATGGGATACAGATGAACATAGGTTTGTTGTTTTCATTGTACATTTATGTTATTTATTGAAAAAGAAAATATTTTGATTATGTATCGAAGATTATTTATATACTAATTTATTTTTAATAGATTAATCGATTTGGGTGATGAAAATGTAGTGGAACTGAAGCTTACAAATGAAAAAACTGATCAACCTGCAGAAGAAGCTGCTGTTGCTACTACAGAAAAAATGGCAGAAAATTCTCTTGCTGAAAACACTGTAAGAATATTTTCAATCTTCGATTTTTTGATCATGTATTATTTATTAACAAAAGACAATTCATTATTTTAACATTGCTCATAGTTAATTTAGAAAGCATTTTGTTTTCTTTGACTTAAATTAACAAGAGAAGTCTTAACAATGATCAGTTGTTTTTGAGTCAGAACTATCTATATCATGTAGACTTCTAATGAGTTCTGAGTTGCCTCGAGAGCAATTCAGATTCTCAGCTTCATTGCTGCCAAGATACTAACTTTTGATGATACCTTTTAAGTCAATGCTGTAATCATGATCAAAATTACTGAGTAAATTGATTTCAAGTTTCGGTTCGATATTTTGCACGGAGATAAACCTTAGTAAGAATTATCTATTCAACAAGTTTCAGATATGTTCATTATTCCTATCCTAGGAAACAGGTATCAGAAAATCGCATCTTTTACATTAGTGATATACACTAACAGATTCAATGAACTTATTTCAACGATAAGAGTTCATCAAGAGACTTACAATTTTCACGAGATATCATAATTATAGAAGTCTGTCTGTAGGCAACGTTTCAAGACGAGATTCGTGAATAAATTTTTCTAAAATTTATCGAAATTAGTAGCTTGCATTTAATCAATACCATTCACTTAGAGCTCTGCAATTCTGTAAAAAAAATGGATCGGACCAAAATAGTAAAAACCAAAGATTTTTAACTGATAACTAGAGACTTATTTAAGTGCCGCACAGTGTGAAGTGGACAGACCAATACATAATTTCATCAGTGTCAAACTATGTTTATTTCTTGCAATTGAATGGAAAGAGAAGTCAAAAAATAGCTAAAATTGTAATGATGATCCTTGAAAAAATTTAAAGCCGGTAAAAAATCCTTTTTTTTACGACAGATGTGGTTCCATAATCTGATATGCTATTTCATTAATATTATAGTTTTGAGTTATGCCCTTGTTGAAGGCGAGTTTTTCGCTATTAACGATGATATTGTATCTAAAAAGTTCGTGTTTCTCATTATACTTCTCCGAGTTCTATTTCGAAAGCTTTCGATGACACAACAAAGGATTTTTTTTATACTCTCAAAAACAGAACAAAATTGTTCAATTTTTGAGTTTCATACCTTTGAATATTTAATATCTAATCGTTGTTCATCAAATGTATTAAAATTAAAAATAATTCTAATTTAATAATAACAGTTTGGTATTAATTAAGTCTAATGCAAATAATAGCTAAACATTAAGACTAATTTAAATATATATGCTTAAAACATTAGCATTAATATTAATAAATGCTAATGTTGAATGTCATAGGACACTCTTAAAAACGAACAATCGTCATTGAACACATATTTCTAAAGATTAGTCAGCATAAGTTCTTCTATTTACTAACTTTCAAGATATATAAAATGAATGTTAACCATAAAATGGTATGCATTTCATCTGACTTATTTCTATATTAATATAATTGAAAAGAAAACAAAAATTCAGTTAAATAAATAAAATATTCTATTTTATTTTATCTTATAAGATAAATCAGTATTAGACAAAAAAAAAAATAAAAATATTAGATAAAAAGAGATTATTTTTAAGTATAAAAGTTAATTGAATTTTTTTGAAATCAATTTATAATTTATTTTTGATAGAAATAAATTAAATATAATATTTAATAGACTTCTTCAAGCAAAATTACAAAAGAATTATTTAATCAACCAAAATCTGATCAAGAAGAAAAAAAACCATTATTAAAATCAAATCAAAATCAAAGTATTATTGATTATTTCTAAATAATTATTTATTTATATTTATTTTGAATAGATCTTAATGATGAAAAAATTAATAAGAATAATACTAATATTACAAAACCAACAGGTAAGATTCTTTTTATTTTTTCTTATCTTATATAATTCTATCTGTTTAAAAAGTAACCAATTTTCGAACTGCATTAAATAGAACTGAAATAAAACTTTTAGCTGAAGAAGAAGATGCTGAACAACGACCTCATAAATATCAAAAACAATGGAAAAAAATAATTAAAGTTATTTATTTTAAAAGCCAAATTATTTATAAATTCTGTTTTTCTTATTATATATAATAGAAAGTTCAAAAAAAAGAAACTGAAGATTCATCAGATGAAGATGAAGAAATTCCACAAGAACCAATTGATGAAAAACCTAAAACAATCATTGGTGTAACACCAGTTCTTGATAAAAAATGTCGATTTTTTATGGGCAAAGATTATTCAAATTCTTATGAAAAAGATTTTGAATTTATTGAAAAATTTGATGAAGGTTTTTTTACATTATTTTTACAATTCATATTAAATATATTATTATTTCATTTGTAAAAAAAGATTATATTGATCGTAAAACTTCTCCACGAATGCCATGGCATGATGAAGCTTTAGTTGTTACTGGAGAAGCAGCAAGAGATTGTGCCAGACATTTTATTCAACGATGGAATATTCATAAAGTTAACTTTTTTTTTTTCTTTTTTATTGAAATAATTAAAAATTTCAGTTGTTTTCTTATTACAAAAATAGGCAGGTAAATTTCGTTTTAATGAATCGTATCCATACATTCTTCCAAAGAGTTATGATGATGATCAATTATTTGATTCATCAATACTTTTTGATATTCTTGGAGAAAAACAAATACCAATGCGTGTTGATGCTCAATGTGTTCGTTCTGTTACATTTTGGTCATGTGGAACACGTACTGTAGAACATTCAATACAAAATGCTTATATTCATATGATTGAAAGTGCTCAACATTTTATTTATATTGAAGTATATTTTAGCTTTTTCTATTTTATGTCATTTGAACAAAAAACAAAAGAATTTCTTTATTTAGAATCAATTTTTTGTTTCCATTGCTAATGATGCAACAATTAAAAATTTAATTGGTGATTCACTTTATCGTCGAATAATTCGTGCTGCTACTAATAAAGAAAAATTTCGAGTTTATGTTGTTATACCATTATTACCTGGATTTTCAAATGTTAATGCTGTTCAAGCTGTTCTTTATTTTATAATGAGATCAATTAATAAAGGAGAAACATCACTTTTTCAAAGATTAATACGAGATGGTAAGTTTGTCTTTTTTTATACAGAATAAATTACATTATTTAATAAGTAAAAAAAAATCAATCAAGATCAAATATTATTTTACACTTAAATATAAAAGCTCCATGTCTCAAAGAGATGTAGTCTAAAAATTAGAAAATTTTTTATGCAAATTAGTCTCAATGATGTTATTAACAGTCAAAGTCCACCTGAGAATATTCCCTTTTAAGTTTACTTTATTATAAAATCATATTTTTATTCGAAGAAAATTGACTTGATTATCGAATCAATTTAAATAAATTTATAATTAGTCTAATAAATCTCAAGTATAGATAGTTTATTTGTATCGTTAAGAATGAATTAATTAATATCATTTATTAAAATAGGTGTATCTAATCCTGAAGAATATATATCATTTTATGGAATGCGTAATTGGGATATATTAATGGGTCAATTAGTAAGTATTTAGAATTTATTTTATTTAATAATAATTTATAATAAAAAAAAAACTTATTAAAGGTAACAGAAATAATTTATGTTCATTCAAAATTAATGATTGTTGATGATCGAATATGTATTTGTGGATCAGCAAATATAAACGATCGTTCTCTTCAAGGTTCTCGAGATTCAGAATTTTGTTTAGTTGTTAATGATATTGATATGATTGATTCACAATTAAATGGTCAACAACAAAAAGTTGGAATTTTTTCTTCAACATGGAGAAAGAAATTATTCAGGTTTGTTATTATTATCATTAATAATATATTTATTCAATTTTTATAGACAATTATTGGGTATTAAAAATGAAGAAGAAATGAGTGTTGATGATCCATGTTCAGATGAATTTTATCAATATTTTCGTCAAACAGCAAAAAAAAATGCACAAATTTATGAAGAAGTTTTTAATACATTACCTACTAATCGTGTTAAAACTTTTACTGAAGTTGAAAATTATGTTCAACCACCTAAATTAAGAGATACAGATCCATTAACTGTATGTTAAATTTTTATCTATTTAGTTATTATTCAAAATCAAAAAAAATCTTTACTTTTAATTAAGGCACATGAAAAATGTAAACAAATAAAAGGTTTTGTTGTTGAATTTCCATTAGAATTTTTAGCTGATGATTTTCTAATGCCTAATTGGACAACATCAGAAGGTCGAATTTAAAATAGATAATTTTTTTGTATATATAAAATAAATTTATTTTCATTATAGGTATTGCTCCTATTCTCTTATGGACATAAAAGAAAATATTTTATGTTAATCAAATTATTTTATAGAAAAAAAAAACAATCTTTGATTGTTTCGTTTTACAACAAAAACTAACTACATATTATGTTTGCTTTTTACTTTTGCTTTGTTTTCTGTGAAATTGTTTTTCTTTTTTTTTGCATCTATGCACAAATCGCATGCATTTACTGGTGCTTTATCTATTATTAATGAATAATATAAGTAGAATAAACAATGATAGACTATGAAATTCGATTAAATTTATATTTTATTCTTTCATTAGCATTTTGTTGAATCGTTATATAATTCGTTGTCAAAACTTCAAACTGTAAATATATTTGAATTTTTTAACTTTTGAAAATTATTTTGATAGAAAACATAAATCAAAATTGATTTCAGTCATTACAGATAGTAACATGATGAGATTTCATATTTAGTTAATAATTAAAATTCATCAAGAAACATTGTCATTAACAATAAAAAAGAAAAACAAGTTCTAGTAAAAATCATGTCAAATGAGAGACTAAAAGAACTTAATAAATAACGTGCTTATCATTATCTATTTATAAAATATGTTGAATAACTAGATCTGAAAATATCATATCTGACAGACACCATCTTTTGCTCTTTCAGATGTAACGAAGTTTCTTTGAATCTCATCAAGATTTTTCGAGCCCATTTTGAAATATTTCTCTTTAATTTGCTGATTCTTTCCTAGGTTAAAAATTTAAGGGTATGGATAATAGAAAACAATATTCAAGTTCGAAATAAATTTCTTCGAGCAATAAATGGTTGTCATAGATGATGAAAAATTTTACTTCAAATAATATTGTATTTAAACAAGCTATTCTCAATAATACATCCATTATTTATAATGAATTCAAAAATACTTTTTTTCTTAATCTCTCGAAAACTTCAAAAATCATACGCTATGAAAAGTCCATCATTAATTTGTGTTAATTTTCCAAAATCTAAAGACTAATTATTCTGGTATCTTTTATGCTAATAATCGAACAGCAAAAATAATTGTTTATGGAATACATGTCAGTACCAATTTTAATTGTTTGTGTAATAACTGATTATTTTTTATAAATTTTTTTAATTAACATCTTTTTTAGAAACACTTTTGCAGTTAAACATCTAAAATAAAGTCATTAGTTAACTGATTCGATTTTAAATGAACGTATATTAAATAAATCGTTGAAGTATCTATTTTATTTGCTAAGAGATGAAGCTCAGTTCATCCTTAGAGACGTTTAAGACCGCTTTAGTTTTACGAGATTTTCTATCAATGTAGTTTTGACTAGGGGAACTCAATCTTCCTCTTCAACTCCAAAATCCTGACTTTACCACTGTAACCAAGTATAAGTATCTATACAGATGAGTTAATAAAAATAAAGGCATACAATAACCGACAGAAAAAAAAGCCATGTTGTGAAATGTGAAAAATAACACTCTTATGCGAATTCTATTCTTTTATAGAGTGTTGTGCCCCTTTCAATTTCGCCGTAATCAGTCTTGAAAGAGAGAAAATAGTCGTATTTCAAATATGCTGGTAATCTCGATTCGACAAATTGATAATAAATTACCGTAAGAAGGCTGAATGAGATCATTTAAGAACCTTAAGAAATTTCGTCAACTCGTATTGAGTAAAATTTCATAAGTAAAAAGATGATTCTTTTAAAGAGGGGCAGCACACTCAACCTTCGCTCTACTCAGTACAATCCTATGTTAAGTTTAGGACAGACAAAAAGCTTAAACATTCAATATTTTAATTGTTTTTGCGTTTTCATACGATGATTGAGGATTTTGGATCGCTATGACCGAATGTCCCTTGGAAGAGACATTTCTTTCATCATGTCATAGTGCATCAATTGATCGATGAAAACATTATGGAGTAGTTTTATCCAGTAGATGAATGATGCATCTCGCGAAATCCCTTAACAAATAGTTTTCTTCTCGTATTCATCAACGAAAAGATATTTCAATATGAAAAAATGACATTTAAAAACTCACAATCCGTAAAAATCTCACTGTTTCGTATGATAGTTACTCAGAATTGATTCTTTTCTTTTTTATGACTTATAAGGTCATCTGAGTTGAAAAAAACAGAGTTTTGTATGCACCGTATTATTGCATATTTTATTGAGGTTTTTATAATATCCTTAGGAAGGAACATTCGGCTTTTAAGAGTTAATTACGATTTTGCCAAGCAAACTTGTGAGAATACTTTAGTACGATGTTTTTATTTCAATCTAATTTATTCATGGTTACATATGTTCGTAAACTCATCAATATTGCTAAAAACAAGCACTTGAATAATTATTTGATTGAATAAAATTCACTTTGAATTTATTATTATGGTTGAAAGGATCATGAAAAGATTAATACTGACTACCAAGCTCCAAAATGCTATAAATTTTTTTCAAGTTGATACAAAGATTTAGTAAACTATAATATTCAACAGTATGTTTTGCATACTTCCCGTATTATAAATGCATATGGTTTCATATTCTTCAATTGTTATTATAAAACTCGGATCAGAATATATTATTCACTTCTAAAGATGAAAAAAACCTGTGTATTTTTCAAGCTTTTACTGCTGGTAATCATCAAATGTACAGATGGTAATACTATACGAATTTCATCAAAGAATTCAAATAGTGGTTATGGCTTCATACAATCGCAGAGATTTTATAGAAAGTTTCAAGAGCCGACCTCATTTCTTATTAGTGGCGAATCCAATGTGTATGCAAAAGTGACTGGTTTCACTGCAACATTCTATCATACAGAACCCTTATTATTTAAAATTAGATTTGACGCTATATGTCATATTTCAAACCCAGCTGCATGGGTATTTCCCCGTATAATGGTGAATGATCTTCTGATTTATAATGATAAATTAATAAAAAATACTGAAGATCGCTATACATCAATACCAGGATTTACCAAGATTCATGATTTTGATCATATTGGTGTAGGACAATATGCTTTTTTCACGTCAATAGCGACAGCAATAACAAAATCGGAATTAATTTATTTACAACCGGGCATACATGTTATTGATGTTGCAGCTCGAGCTATCGGCAATATGCCAGTTAACATTTATTTTGGTGTACTAACTATTGAATTAATTCAATATGATAACGGGGTAAATATTGGTGAACTAATACCCATCAATACTACATTAATTGGTTGACTTGGATAAAACTATAACAAGAGAAAACTGTTATAAAACCGTCTATTTTTTTAATGTTTAGTTTTCAATTTAAACTTAAAAAAATTACAAATTAACTGCACTTATGTAAGGATGAGAGCGTGAGTCTTTTTTTGCCCTACATCAACATCCACATTCATAGCCATAATCATACCCAATAAAAATTCGAACAGATAAATAGAACACTAATGTAAGAATGAATGTAAATGTGTATGAAAAACGAGAAAATTTACATGTTTTTGTGAATCCTCGTCAACATATCGTTTTATTGACGGATGTTCGCAAAATTTTGCATTCATTAGCCTGATAGCTGTTACTTAGCGTTCTTGCTTTATGATAAGAGTGAATATTGTTTATACTTAAATAGGCGAATATTCCAATGACTATACTTAGAAGGATACACAGATGTACTAGACACATTGTATTGAATTCGATTGAAATCTCTCTGAACACAACTTAGTGAAGAAGTTAGATAAAAAAAAAATACAAATTATGTTGGCTTCTTTCTTCAATGATGACCAATGGGATGCAGTTGCTTTTCGTGAGGTCATATTCCGCAAGAGAAGAATATGAGCATTCAACGAATTCATTTAATTCTGAACAAGGCGAAAAGTTTTCTTGAATTCAACTAGAAAAAATATTAAACTTTCAGTTTTCAAAAAGAGCCACATGTTCTTGTCGCTTACTTCAATCTTAGCGGGCACATTCAAAATTCGTATCTAAAAAAGGTGTTGGGTAACGAAACTCATGGAGAATAATGAAAATTAGTTTGTTGAGAAGCGATATTGTTTGTGTACGTCGTTGTCGACCGTACTATGGTATCTTGGCCCACACATCCATTCGATTTTGCAAAGCAGCACAAATATTAATATTAACATAGCAGACCATGAAAAATAGATGAGAGAGAAAAAAACCAATTGACATCAGTGCTAATACCTGGTTACTTTTCATGAGTACACTAATACCATATCCTGAAGAACGCAAAGAATGTTCTTCAAAGCGTATTATTAATGCATGTACGCTGTCATCATCGTCTTATTCACCTTATTTCTTTCTATCGTCATTTAATCATATTTTGATTCCGTTGCGATCAAAATATTAACAGAGTCTAATATTCAATGCTACGTGCGCGCTCTCTCTATCGTAATCTGAATTCTTGTCTCGTTGTGTACATAAAAAAACGACAAAATCAACCGAGAGAAAAGGGAATAAAGCTTAGATCAATGCAATGAACAGAGAACCATTAAACCACGAAAGGATTAAACGAGATGTATTTCATCTATTAATATCTTCTTCAACACAACAGATCAGAGTTCTACCTGCTCATCAACAAAATTTCACAAGAAAAAATTCATCGATACGAAAAAATGAAACAAATAACAACTCTGACGAAGGATCGTTGTACTTTGACCATTTTGATAAAAAGTCTTTTCAATCATTCAACCTCTGTGCTAGTCTTTGGTTATTATCATCATTACTAAGTATACAGAGTAAAATCCCACTATATGGGGACCTCTATAACAAGAGCACCTCGTTTATATGGGCACTCGGCGAAACGATCAATCGATTTTTGATGGAAGTGAGCCTCTCTAACAAGCTCTGAGAGTGAGCCAGAGATGTCCATCGCGGCTCAAAATCTGCCGCTGCCGCGCCGCGGCCAAAATCAAACAAAGCTGCCGCGCCGCTCCCGCGACGCGATAGCCTGTTAAAAAAAGCTACCGCGACGCGCCTTAAAAAAAGCTTGCCGCTACCGCGCCGCTGCCGCGCTGGTATTTGGAAAAAATGTTTTGATTTTCA